CCCCAAAACCCCAAAACCCCAAAACCCCAAAACCCCAAAACCCCTGAAGGTAATTTCTGAATTGAATTATTAGTCTGATTCAGATTTGCTAGCCAGATCATCAAGATTATCATCAGTTGTTGCAATTGACTCTGTTTCTTTGCTCTCTTGATCCCTTCCAGAAATTATGATGTTATTATCGTTTTCGGCTGAATCTCAGGCGTTTAGAGGTGATGTCTACTGAATGGATCAAATGAACTTACAACTCTGATCTCAGGAGATTCGATTCCATCATACTTTGTATCAGCACTATGTATTGAATATTGAGATTACCTTTGACTTCTATCTTCATCAATTTTTGTTTCCTCTTTTATGATTGCTGTGATATATTTGCTCCTCCTCTTATGAGATCTTGAAGGAACTATCCCTGATAGAGAGCTTCTCTTAATTTTATTCTATATCAAGCTAATTTTCTCGTTAGGAATTAATGATTACGTTAAAGCGGCTTTTTGATGTAGGCGTGATCTTACTATTGGTGATACTTTAACCTTACGATTTGTTAACGATTTTGCCCAAAGCTTTATTGACAATAGCCCCCTGAAAAGTCTTTGATTTGACTAAGGGAGATGAAGGTTTATCTGTCAGCTTTCCACCGAATTTTAGGATACTAAAGCTTAGATTAAATTTTACTTTTTCAGATGAGTTTTATTCTTTATAGCACTTCTGACAACATTTTGAAATTTATTCACGTTCTTCTTGCTTCTTAATAACTTAGACTGTTTATTTGGATGTAGGTTTTGAAATTGATTTTTCTAAATATTAATAATCCCAGAATACTAGGTTTAGGCTTTATTGCCTTAATATGATGAATTGGCCTTTTTAAAGACTTCTTTTTCTTCAATTTTTCGTAAACAGTTATTGCATAATACACAAATGCCTTCCTTGCATGTAATCTTCGTTCAAACTTATTGTCTTTTACCTTCTCTTTCCACAAATTGCAGTAATATTTGATCTACGTTAAGAAGAATATGTTACCTCTTCTAGAAGATATTTTTCCCTGAGATTTTTAAAAGCGTCTAGTTGGTTGTAAATTTTGGAATATCACCAGTTGACTGTCTGTCTGCGCACCAAATAGCCTCTCCATCAACTTTGGATCTTGACGATCGCTTTCAAGTAGTGGCTCTGCTTCTGTTTACTATAGAATAGTTACTCTCAAGTTACTTAAGTTTCCATTTTCGGAATGATAATTGGAATCTCTTTGCAATACTTTTAAGCTTGTTTTTATAAGCAAGAAATTCCCTCCTAATGAGGTAAACCTTCCAGTAGGATTGAATCTTGTTGGCCGCTTCCTCCTGTACAATCTTATGAGAAGCCTTCATGAATTTTTCTTTGATGACAGCCTCTGGGAGAAATACCCAGTTCTTATTTTGGAGTCACACCAGGGTGTTTGACTGCCAACTTTTCAATAAATTGAGTTTTTTGGATTTTTTCAAGAAACAAATTATTTTTAGCTGGCTTCATAGCAAAGCATGAGCTTTTGATTGATGTTTGATATCTAAAAGCAATCGTTATTTGGAGGAAAGTATACCTTCCGTATTTAAGGAAATGATTCCTTTTGGGTTTATTCTCTAAAATTAACAAGTAGTTTACTTCTCTTCAAAGATTTGCTAATTTTGTCTCAAAATCTTGACCTGCTGGCGTCTCGTTTCAAAGCTATACTTGCGGCTTCGATAGAGGTATCCTTGAACATCCCTGATTGGGTGTAAGATTGGGTAAACCTTGAGGTCAGGTTATGGTCATTTAACGACTTTTCGTTATTTGGGGTTACTCCAAAACTTTGCCTAGGATAGTAATTAGTTTCTTACATCGATTTCCTGGGATTATTCAAAGCTGGCAAAGACCCTATAACTTCTTTTAAGACTATTCATGATATTATTGGTGAATTAGAGTATAATTTTTTTAATACTTCTACGTATGACTGGGTAATTTATAATTCCCAAACTCAACAATTTTTCTAATGGAAGTGGACTTCATGGAAATCAATTTTGTAGCTTCTCAAGTTATATTAGTTGAATATGCATAGGAATCTAGTAAAAATGCATTTTGCCACTGACCTGCATTGTCCATTTGGCTTGAGCTAGACATAGCATTAGGTGCGTGTTGGATTTAAATTTTTCAATAAACTTACAATGGGACAAATGTTTTATTTGGGGCTGACAGACATTAATTTAAAAGAGTTTTTCTTATAATCTCCAAAAATGTCAGCCATACTTCTTCTTGATGTTAAAAATCCTGTGCTTGTTTCACAATTATCCACTCTAAAGTCAAGTTATTTAGATATATCGAATATAATTTATAAAAGAGCACATTAGCCAGACTTATAGAAACGAATTAGCCTATTTAGCGAGTTGAAAAGATAATAAATGATGATCTCATTCACCAGGTTATAGAATACCTTGGCAGAATCGACATATTTTAATTTGTATAATAATTTTAAGCAATACGAGTTCAAAGTATTGGGGTTTTGGGGTTTTGGGGTTTTGGGGTTTTGGGG